CAGCTCACACCACCAGACGCCCTTTCCTCTCCCCCAAATCTGTTCAACCCAGGCAGCTGCGGCTGCATCCTGCAGCCTCTCTTGGGTGACCTGCACATGCTGCAAACTGTGTTGTGCAGGAGTTTCTCTCCAAGGAGACCAAGGGAGAAGATCACTGGATTGGACTCACCGACCGGGGGACAGAAGGCAGCTGGCGCTGGGTGGATGGCACAGAATACAGAGCAGATGCAAGCAGGGGGTGAGTAAAGCTTGAGATACGTGATTACTTATTATGCAGAACCTGGCACAGCGGGCCCGATCCTGAGGGAGGCCCCCGGGCACTGCCACAATAGCAGTGAATCCTCTCAGGAATTTCTGCTAATGCCCCTTTGCTCAGAGCAGGAGCCTAAACACAGAGCTTGTGTTCAGTGCCACTGAGACCCAGGGCCAGAGCCTCCCCTGGGGTAACTTGGCATTGACTTGAATGAACCACAGGGATTTACACCAGCTGAAGATCTAGCCCCAAGTCACCTCATGACAGCCAGGTGAGTCTGGAGTGAGCGGCAGGTTCACACTCTCCTTGGGATTGCACTGCGCTCTCCCCTCTGTCAGGCTGGGGAAGGGGAGGCTGTGGGGTCCGGGGCATGGCCGGAGCCAGCTGCAGTCGGTGCAGTGACCTCAGTGGGCTGTGGACGTGGCCCATAAGCAGGGCCATGGAGAAGTTAATGACTGACCCCCACCGCCCTCTCTTCCCATTCCTGCGTTCCCATCTCGGGGGTGCCTGGGACGTGCTGTGCCACGTGCTTTGGTTCTGGGCACTGAGATCGGAGTTGCTGCTGTCAGCATTTGGAGCCACATACTGACTTGGGCTCTTTGCTGGCTTGTCAGGCGCAGGGCAGTTGCTACCCCCAGTCGTCAGAAGCCCTTCGTTACCATGGCCACAAGTGCTGTAGAGAACTCTGAGGGGTGGCTGGAGGGGGTTTGTGGATCACTTTTCCACGTTATTTCGGGTGTCTTGGTCTCCACTTAACAGAGTCCACAGAGCAGAACTGAGCTCAGGAATTGGCTGTGGTTCTCCCCTGAGACATTAACACTCTGATCTGTAGGTTCTGGGAGGAGAATCAGCCAAACAATGATGATCCGGGGGAAGATGGTGGAGAGACTGTGTTCATACCCAGTCAAGCAACCGGAATTTATGGAATGATGCGAACTGCGCTCTGCCTTTCAGGTGGATTTGTAAGCAGGCCCATGGACAGGCTGGGCTGTGAGAAGGCAGATCCCAGCACCTCAGAAAGTGCCTTAATTTCCAAGCTAGAATATTTCCCAGCCACCCGCTGCCGAGGAGCCCTGTGCACTTGAGGGGCCGTGTGGGACCGGCGTTGCAGGGGGAGCCCCTAAGAGGAATCCTGGAGGACCCAGCCAGAATTCCTCCTAGTGGCTTCCAGGGCACATGTGGCAAAGGACTAGCCCCACCAGTCTGCGGGAGGTGCGGTGAGCTCCCAGCTCACTTCCAGCTACCGCCCATGGAGCTGCTGGCAAGGAGCAAGGACGGCATTTCCCGATGAGATTCGAGCCAGCTCCTGCTCCCGGAGCTTGTGGTTGAGCTACACAAGGATTCTAAAGAGCCATCCAATCTTGATTTAAAGACCTCAAGAGATGGAGAATCCACCACATTGCTCAGTAAGTTGTTCCAATGGTCAATTGCTTCTCAGTATTCAGCATTAACTAAGCTCTGAGATGAGAGACAGGGAGTCAAAATTCTTTAAAATACTCCCATATTTTTGCTATTGTGCCCATTTGAAAGGAAAACAGAACAGCCAGTGAAGTAGACAGCACAGGTACCAAAACTGCCCAATGAAGAAATGAAGATTTGCCCATTTCAGACACCTTTGAAAGGAAAAAATCTAATTCTAAACTGGGTTGACCCCCATACCAGATTACAGAGCCTGCCTGTTAGAATATAGAGATGCAGGCCTGCCTGTAAAGGCCTTTACTTTAAGACAGGGGTAGGCAAACTTTTTGGCCTGAGGGCCACATCTGTGAATAGAAATTGTATAGCAGGCCATGAATGCTCACAAAATTGGGGTTGGGGTGCGGGAGGGGGTGAGGGCTCTGGTTGGGGGTGTGGGCTCTGTGGCGGGGCTGGGGATGAGGAGTTTGGGCTGTAGGAGGGGGCTCTGGTCTGGGACCGAGGGGTTTGGAGGGCGGGAGGGGGATCAGGGCAGGGGTGCGGGAAGGGGTGCCGGTTCCAGCTGGGGGTGCGGCTTCTGGGCTCGGGCTGGAAATGAAAGGTGTGGGGTGCAGGAGGGTGCTTCTGGCTGCAATCGAGGGATTTGGAGAGCAGGAGGGGGATCAGGGGTGGGGTAGGGCATTGGGGCATGGGGAGAGGCTCAGGGGTGCAGGCTCTGGGCGGCACTTACCTCAATGGGCTCCCGGAAGCAGCGGCATGTCCCTTCTCTGGCTCCTA